CTTCCTCTCTCTCCCTCCCACTCTGTCTGTACAAAAAATGGAAAAATATCCTCGGATGAGATAAAAAAATAAATAAATAAATAAATAAAAAGAAAGAAACAAAAAAAATAATAAAATAAAATAAAATAAAATTTGAAAACTTTTGAATATGTTATAATATGCTGAAATTACACTTAATATGTTTTTATAATCCTAAACGTTGTCTGGGGTATGGAGTAAGAAGTGTTAAGCAACATGCACGTTTTATATACATTTTGGAGAAATTTTATCTTTATAGAAAAAAATCAGTTACAATCTGGTATATCTCCTGTAGGGCAAAAGCAGCATATAGTACACCTTCTGTAGAACATAAGCTTTCATGAGTAACAAGCAGAACTAATGTTTAGTTAACAGCCTAGCATCTTGTGCGTTCTTAAACTCTATTTAACACAAAATCTAATACCATTTGGATTACTTGAGAGTTAACGTTTGGAGATGCTGTTCAATACCAATACAGGTTCCTTTTTTCCCATTACAGGTCTGTTTCTGAGAATTTCCTTAGAATCCTATTTCAAAGGAAGGGGAAATATTCCAGCCTGCTATCTGTATCAAGTGAAGGCAAGTCCAACAGTCAAAATCTGCCTAAATCATAGACGTTACAAGAAGATCTGAGAAGCAAGGGACATTTAGAACAATTATTTCACAGAAATACTTAAACTCAATAAATATTTAAATAAATGAATGAGTATAATATTTACACCTGATAAAATGTAATAAGCAGTAAAACTCTGTTGTTCCTATTTTAAAAACCACAGATTTGACAAGGCTCACATCAAAGTCCTGTGGCCCATGCACATTAAGATACTAAATCACTTTGTTACATTTAAAAAAAAATCCTTACCTGAGGACCTGTTTTTTATTAATTTTAGAGAGAGAGGAAGGGAGAGAGAAAAGTCGATGTAAGAAACATTGATTGGTTGCTTCCCATAAGCATCCCAACTGGAAATTGAACCTGAAACTTAGATATGTGCCCTGACTGGTAATTGAATCCGGAACCTCTTTGGTGTGAGACAATGCTCCAACCAACTAAGCCACCTGACCAGGCACTTTGTTACTCTTAAAAAGCTAGGACTTAGCATCATGGTGTGATGGGAATCACATAAAACTTAGAAGTTTGAGTGAAATAAGCCAGTCAGAGAAAGACAAGTACCATATGATTTCACTTATATGTGGAATCTAATGAACAAAATAAACTAACAAACAAAACAGAAACTGACTCATAGATACAGAGAACAGACTGACAGCTGTCAGAGAGGCAGGGAGTTGGGAGGCTGGGTGAAAAAGGTGAAGGTTAAGATTGAGGGGAAATAAAAAAAAAAAAGGAAAACCCTCATAGGCACAGACAACAGTATGGTGATCATCAGAGGGAAAAGTGGGTGGGGAGAGGTAGATACGAATATAGGGGGGTAAATGGTGATGGAAGGAGACTAGACTTGGGGTGGTGAATACACAATATACAAATGATGTACATATTATAGAATTGTACACCTGAAACCTATATAATTTTTTTTTATTTTTTTTATTTTTTTTATCCTCACCCGAGGATATTTTTCCATTTTTTGTACAGATAGAGTGGGAGGGAGAGAGAGGAAGAGAGAGAGAGGGAAACATCGACGTGAAGGGACACATCGAGTGGCTGCCACCCACACGACCAACCAGGGCCGGGGACAAACTGCAACCGAGTTACATGCCCTTAGCGGGAACCGAACCCGGGTCTCTCCGGACCGCAGGCCAACGCTCTAACCGCTGAGCCAAACCGGCCAGGGCGAAACCTATATAATTTTATTAACCAACGTCACCCAATAAATTAAATAAAAATTAAAAGAAAATGAAAAATTATAATGCATTATGACCAAGTAAGTTCAATTTTAGGGATATAAAAGTGGTTTGAGATCAGGTATTCTATTAATATAATTTAATGTTAATAGATTAAAGGAAGAAAACCATTTGAGAATATCAGTAGATGTTAAAGAGCTTTTGATTAAATTCAATACCCACTGCTATAAAAATTCCTAGTAGGTGCAACAGACGGAAACTTTGCTACTGAGACACACAGCAGACATGATACTTAGTGGTGTTTAAAAAACAAAACAAAAACAATTTAGAAATTTGAATGCTGGCTCTGTCACTACTCACCATGTAGCCTGAGACACATTACTGTCAATAGCCTAGGTTTACCTCTAAAAAGGCAGTAACACCTAGTATTCCCACAGAGTAGGGAGAGGATAAAGTGGATAACACTTCATTAAGTAGCCTCATCTCTTAGCTATCTTTACCACATGCCCAACTTAAACTTTGTTTTCCACATGTTCTACACCTTCCTTTCGTACCTTCTACGTAGCTCCTATTGCTGTAATCTCCTTCTCTAGACCTTCTTTCAGTAATCAGTTGTGTTCTATCCTCTGAGATACCTGTCCAGGGTCCTCTCCAAGCAATATCATTCTTGTCTTCATCATCTGTTATCCAAAGTGGTTTCTTTATGTTCTTCTTAAACCACTAACCACAATGTAGTAAGAGGCTGCTCTTCTTTTTGAGTAATGTCTCCCCCATGTGTTAAGTGCTTTATATCCATTTTTCCCATGTAATTCTTTTTTTATTTATTTATTTATTTATTTTTTTATCCTCACCCAAGGACATTTTTCCATTTTTTATTCAGATAGAGTGGGAGGGAGAGAGAGGAAAAGAGAGAAACATCGACGTGAAAGGGACACATCGAGTAGCTGCCACCCGCATGACCAACCAGGGCCGGGGACAAACTGCAACAGAGGTACATGCCCTTAGCGGGAACCGAACCCGGGTCTCTCTGAACCGCAGGTTGATGCTCTAACTGCTAAGCCAAACCGGCAGGGCTTCCCAAGTAATTCTTCACCACCTGTGAAGTAGGTCCTTTTATTCCCTTTGTTTTGTCAATGACTAAAGTAAGGCTTAGAGAAGTTAAATAACTTGCCCAAAGTCATTCACATAATAATACAAATCATCACTAATCCTAATTAGTAATAATTAGTAGGACTGGATTCAAAGCCAGATCCCTGGCTCTAAAGCCATTCTGCTGCCTTTGGTGCATGTTATACTTCCTATGCATTTGTAGCCTAAGGTAAAAAGTACAACACCTAGCATGATATTTGCACTAAAATATATGTTGGATGAGTTAAAAACGCAGAGAACAAATCTATTCACTAAATTGCCTATTGTGTCCAATTCACCTGGACCTGAAGATGCAAAGTCTCTACCCTCAAGGAGTCTATAGCCAGCCTATTGTGGGAGAGAGAAGAAAAAGGGTGATAACAGTGCTACTTCTGCAGACAAGTTGCTGAGAAAACACAGGATGGGGCACAGAAACTGGAATGGAAGGAAAACAAAGTCAAGAATGTTTGAGTTTCTGCCCTGGCCAGTTTGGTTCAGCGGTTAAGGCCTCGGCCTGAGGTCCAGAGGGACCCGGGTTCGGTTCCCGCAAAGGGCACATACTTTGGTTGCAGTTTGTCCCTGGCTCTGGTTGGGTCGTGTGGGTGGCAGCCACTGGATGTGTCCCTTTCATGTCGATGTTTCTCTCTCTCTCTCTTCCTCTCTCCTTCCCACTCTATCTGAACAACAACAACAAAAAATGGAAAAATGTCCTCAGGTGAGGATTAAAAAAAAAAAAAAAAAGAATGTTTGAGTTCCTGCTTTTCCCATCAAAACCAACGTTAAGCAGGGTTCTAACAGATTAGCACTCTAGCAACTAGCATGGCAGGTATTAACATATTTTTTTTATATAGGCCTGGCTGATGTGGCTTAGTGGTTGAGCGTCAACCCATGCACCAAGAGGCCACCGGTTCGACTCCCAGTCAGGGCACATGCCCAGGTTGTGGGCCTGATACCCAGGGGGGCGTATGCAGGAGGCGGCCAATCGATGTTCTTTCTCATTGATGTTTCTACCTCTCTCTGTCTTCCTTCCTGTCTCTTTCTCTCTAATATCAATAAAGAAAAAAATATATAATTAGTTTATATTTTATCTCAAATTACCTGTCTAGTTCAAATAAACTTCATCTTCTAAAAAGCATATTTTAGCCCTGGCCAGTTTGGCTCAGCGGTTAGAGCGTTGGCCTGCGGTCCTGAGAGACCCGGGTTCGGTTCCCGCTAAGGGCGCGTACCTTGGTTGCAGTTTGTCCCCGGCCCTGGTCGGTTGTGCGGGTGGCAGCCTCTCGATGTGTTCCTTTCACATCGATGTTTCTCTCTCTCTCTGTTCTTCTCTCTCCCTCCCACTCTACCTGAACAAAAAATGGAAAAATGTCCTCGGATGAGGATAAAAAAAATAAATAAATAAATAAATAAATAAAAAGCATATTTTAAAATTTATTTAAAGAATGCTCTGCTTTTTAAATATGTTTAATTTACATGGCACTACATGTGTTTCTTTTCTTTTTAACATTCTTTTTTCTTTATTGATTTTTGAGAGAGAGGAAGGGAGAGGGAGAGAGAGATAGAAACATCTATGGGAGAAGACAGCAAATGATCGCCTCCTGCATGTACCCCACTGGGGATCAGGCCCACAACCTGGGTATGTGCCCTGACCGGAAATTAAACCAGTGACCTCTTGGTACATGGGTTGACACTCAACAACTGAGCCACACTGGCCAGGCAGCAATACATATTTTTCTCTCCATATTTTTAATCATAGAAAGAAAAACATTCAATGAAAAAAAAAAAACACCACACAGCTGGTTATATAACTGGCTGGTATTAGAAGTGCTTGCGAAAAAACCACAATCAATTTAGGATATTTTAACTTAGAAAATAAGTTGCATTTCAAGCAACTACTCCCAAAACACCAACTATCCTCAAGAACATCCTACTCCTAAGTAAAAAACAACAAACTTTTAGGTTTTTACCATATACATTTCCCCATTCTTCCCCTCTGATTTAACCCTACAATAAAAACAAATACAATTTAGGTAATATATTCCCATCAGTTGTTCACTTACCAAACAATAGTTCATTCAAGTGGACACTTTCTGGGCTGTCATGGAAAATGCCAATAAAAAGCCTATTAAATTCAAGTTAGATTACATCTGTCACTTCTGCCTTGTCCAAAACAATTACTATGGAAGAAAATAAATTAAGCCTAGCAATATCACTCATTACAAAGTTGGCTGCTATAAAAAAATGTCACGGTTTTACTAGGTGACTGATAGATTAATTTATTTCAACACTGTTCTAACCTGAATACAGCAAACACTGTGGAATTGGTAAAGACAAAAATAACAAAATAGAGGTGGTGAAGAAAGGACATACAAAACAATGAGAAGTGAAATGAGGTACAGATTTCACTTGTTTGCATTTTGTGAAATGAATGAAGACAATAGCAAAGACAAAAGCATAAAAAGATTAAAATGTAAAGGCAGCAAACATAAGCAATTAAGAAAGCACAGCTTCAAATACACACAATTCTGAAAGAGAACCTAACTTCTTCTTTGCGCTAAACTTGTGGAAAATCAGGTTCAAGTTCAAAGTAGGTTAAACTTAACTTTCAACTTCTTATCTCACTGACTATATAGCACAGAGAAAATAAGCTGGCAGACAGAGTTTCCATAAAACTTTTTTTCTTATCTTCCCTAGTAAATTTTCTCACTAGAAGGAAAAAAATAAACAAAAGGAAATGTGTTTAATTTGTTTTTGATAGTTCTTATCTTTAGTTTAAGATACTTAAAAATTCACGAAGCCTTGATAAAACAGGAGAGTGTAAACAGCTCTTTACAGCAAGGAACTGGGATGTGTTGTTACCAGCTGTAGAGAAAAGTTAAAATCAAAAGGAATTTTGAGAGATTATTTATTCCCTTAGCCTTCGTTAATACACTAGGAAAGTTTGTGACAATTTATAAAATTTATAGACTTAAAAAATAGGGCTTCAAACCAGGACTATATTTAATACCATAATATTAACCAAGCTTTTAATTACATGTTTAAAAATTCAAAACCACAATTCCCCCAGGAAACGTAACTCTTACTATTAAAAGAAAATAACAGGAATAATCACATTCATCAAATTTATTAAACCCAATGCTATGCTAGTCACCATAATGATCTATTGTACTTTTGTTCTTTCATTAAAGAATTCTTAGGCCATTCACTATTAAGTTACTGTTTAACTGGTAAATTCAGGCAAAATACTAAATAACTTGAGAAGTCACAAGTGCAAAGTCCATTGTACAAAACTACTCAACCATGCTCCCTCTTTATGTACGTTTCCAGATATAATTTAAACTGTCTGAGCAAAAGGTGAATTCTAAATTCCGCACAAATTGACTTTACTGTGCCTTTCTTTTTGCTTGAAAACTCCTTTCATACATTGCCACCGGTTCAATTTCACCTGTGGGTAATGAACACAGAACTCATTGTGGGGGAAAACAAACCAGAATGTGAGAAAAGAGGCTATCAGATATACAAGGGAGCGAAACAGTTGATTGAAAAACACTTTAACCACAATACCTTTTCTCCATCTGTAGGAGGTATTTTGAATATTTGTTACCATTTCTTTCATGAAAAACCCTGTAGGTTCCGAAAGCTCCCAAGCTGAGTACTCACCTGGGTCCTCTGAATGCTGAATCCCGGCTTTTATCTCTGCTAAGCTGACCTCCCCCTCTTGGGAGACTGACGCTGCTGCCCCCTCCTCTGTGTCCTCCACCTTAGTCACGGTAAAGTGTGGCATTGTTATAGGAATCCTGTGCTTTTTCTGTATTTAAACTTCCTTCCAGTCTACTCTGCCCACCCTTTCCTCACTGTGTCCCTGGCCGACTGATCACTGCCTGAGGGAGACCGACGCTGGGAATCGGGAAGTACTTTCTGCTCACGTGATCAACAACCTTAGGGAGTGGAACACTGGAAGACACGCCTTCCCCAGCGTTTATCTTTCACTTGAAAGGATTAGCACGCCACCCTTTGCTTACGGTTATTGAGCTAAAGAATCCTAAGAACTGTTTGGCGGCTCTGCTTTCCGAGAGTTGCCAAAAGCTGGAGAGTGGGCAGAATTCATGAACTGCAGCCCACTGTGTGCTCACCCACTTCTGAAAGTGAAGAAAATCAATAGTTGTTAAAGACCTACTTGGTGCCCTTCATTGCTCTAGAAAGTTTTCATTATGATCTCATTTAATCATCAGGCCAAAGAACTTGCCCAGAGCCACAGAGCTTGTAAATGGTGAAGCTCAACTTAAAAACTTCTAATACCTTTGTTGGTAGGCAGCATTGAAGTTTCATGGGGGGGATAAGTCATGCTCACCTAAATTTTCATTGGTGAGTTACTCTACAGCACTGGCTTGTAATCTTGGCTGCACATGGGAATCACCTGGGAAGACTTTAAAACTACTGATGCCTGGGTCTCATACTAGGTATTCTGATTTAATTGCTCTGGAGTGGAGCCGGGGCGATAGACTTTTCATTTTTTTAAATATGTTTGTATTGATTTTTTAGTGAGAGAGGGAGGGAGAGAGAGATAGAAACACCAATGTGAGAGATACATCAATCAGCTGCCTCCTGCACACCCCCCTCCTGAGGATGGAGCCTGAAACCTGGGCATGTGCCCTGAATGGGCATCAAACCAGGACCTCTCAGTCCATGGGATGATGCTCAACCCACTGGGCCACACCGGCAGGGCTGGGCAATAGACTTTTAAAAAGCACTTTCCTCCCCATGATTCTAAGGTGCTGCCAAGGTTGAGAATTACTACTATATATGGGAAAGAGAAGTTTAACCTGTTGAGTCTTTGTAACTATATTTACCATTGAAAGAAACTAAGTCAGGTGTGGTGGTATAGTACCCGGGGTGATTTTTCCATACAACTCAGGTAGCTATTCTACTAATTTATTCAAAGGAACTTAAAACACTACCAAATTGTTAAAGATTTCAATATTATATTCTGGGTTCCAAATTCTTGAATACTTTAGTGCCATTGGATATTTCCAACAGGCTCTTGCCTTTCATTTTTACCCTATAAAGAGAGGAATTATGGCTGATCTTCTATAGTTAATGGATAGAAAAAATGACCTGTGTTTATGAACCTGTGTACAGCTTGTGCATATAAGCCTATGTACAAAAGGTTCCCCAAACTAAACAAGTAAGAAGTAACAAGTAACTTCCTGTTAATCTACAATAGGAGTAATTTATTTATCAACTTGATGTTCTGGTGCCATAGAGATCAGCAATTTTAAAAGAGTTCCCTGCTAGAGTGGACTATAGGTAAAAGTACAGGGGCATAGGAAACAGCCCAAGTGTCCATCAGTAGACGAATGGATAAAAAAGCTGTGGTACATATACACAATGGAGTACTATGCAGCGGTAAGAAAGAAAGATCTCTTATCCTTTGAGACGACATGGAGGGACCTGGAAAGTATTATCCTAAGTGAAAGAAGCCAAGCAGAAAAAGACAAATACCACATGATCTCACTTATATACGGAATATAATGAACATAACAGTCTGAGGAATACAGTAGACCCAGAAACATGGAAGTAGGGCACAGACTGACATCCCCCAGAAGAGGGGGTGGGGGGGGAAGAGATAAACCACAGAACTTATATGCATGTATGCATGACCAATGGACATGGACAACTAAGCCGGGGACGGAGCGGGGGTGGGTTGGGGAGGGGGGTGCCAATGGGGTAAAAAAGGTAAAATATCTGTAACAAAAAAATAAATAAAAAATTTATTAAAAAACAACAACAAAAAGTACAGGGGCAAAAAAAAATTGAAGGCAAAGTTAAAGTAGTACAGAAAAACTTGGGGGGAAAGTGGTAAAGCTGATGTATGTGAGTGCTGTGTATGAGGAGTGGTAAGAGAGTGAGATGCAATAAATAGCTATTCTAAGTACAATAAACTACCACAATGAGGTATCACTATACATCCACCACCACAATAGCTAAAATTGATAAAACCGACAACACCAAATTTGGTGAGAATGTGGAACAAAAGGAATTTTCAGCCCTGGCCGGTTGCTCAGTGGTTAGAGCGTCGGCCTGCGGTCCAGAGAGACCTGGGTTCGGTTCCCGCTAAGGGCACGTACCTCGGTTGCAGTTTGTCCCCGGCCCTGGTTGGGTTGTGAGGGTGGCAACCACTCAATGTGTCCCTTTCACGTCGATGTTTTTCTCTCTGTCTTCCTCTCTCTTCCTCCCACTCTATCTGAACTAAAAAGGAAAAAGTGTCCTCGGGTGAGGAGAAAAAGAAAAAAAAGGAATTTTCATACACTGTTACATACCGTGTAAACTGGTTCACCCAGTTTGGATCTGGTACTTTCCCCTATCACCCATCAACTGCACTCCTAAGTATTCATCCTCAAAATGAAAACATATTTCCACAAAAGGATTTGTATAAGAATGTCCATAGCAGTTTATTACTAACAGCCAAACACTGTAAATAACCCAGATGTACACCCACAGGAGAATAAACTATGATATAATCATACAAAGAATTACCATTCAGCTTAAAAAAGGAATGAATCAATGATACATGCAACAATATGGATGAAACTCAAAAACACTATGCTATGTGAAAGAAGCTTTATACAAAAGAGTACACAATATTAGAGTCCACTGACATAAAGCTTTAGAAGAGGTAAAACTAAACTGTGATACAAAAAAACCAGGATAGTGGTTGCCTTTGGGGAGATGATGGTGATTAACTGGGATGGGGCATGAGAGAACGTCCTGAGTGCTGGTAATATTCTATATCTTGATAGAGTTTAGAGTTCTACAGGTGTATGAATTTGTAAAAAATCAGCCAATGTTCATTTAAAATGTGTGTATTTCATTGTATAAAAAGTTTACTTTTAGTCTGGCTGGTGTGGCTCAGTGGTTGAGCGTCGAACCATGCACCAAGAGGTTGCCCTGACCAGGTTGTGGGCCAAATCTCCAGTGGGGGGCATGCGGGAGGCGGCCAATCGATGTTCTCTCCCACTGATGTTTCTATCTCTCTCCCTCTCCCTTCCTCTCTGTCTAAAATCAATAAAGAAAAAAAAGTTTACATTAAAAGAAAAAAACCCTGCAAATACTGAATTCTAATTAATAATGTGAATTTTGAAGTATAATGAGAAGTTAACTGATGCCTGTAATTTCTCTCCAATTACACAAAGAGGATGGATATATATGTTATAGGACAAGTATAACAAAATGCTAATGACAGATGCTGGGTGGTGGGTTTATGGGTATTAACCATAAAAGTCATTACATTTTCTGTTTGAAAGCTGTCATAATAAAATGTTGAGAAAGATACAATGAACTGACACCATTATGAAAATGAATAGGTAAGTCACAGACTGGGAGAAAATATACAAAAGACTTGTATCCAGAACATACAGAAATGCCTTACAACTCAATAATAAAAAGACAATTCAACACAAAACAGGCAAAGGATTTAACCAGACAATTCACAAATTTAGTTACATAAATGGTAAATAAACACTTGAAAAAGTGCCCAACATTACTGCCCATTAGGGAAATGCACATTAAAATCACAATTAAAACTGCTGGCAAGGATGTAGAGCAAATGTTAGTGGCGATGTAAAATGTTACCACTTTGGAAAAAGGTCTGGCAGTTTTTAATAAATGTAAACAAACATTTACCCTATGACCCAGCAATTTCTCTTCTAGGCATTCACCCAGGATAAATAAAAGCATACGTTCATTAAAAAAATATCTGAACAAGTATGTTTATAGCAGCTTTATTCATAATAGCCCAATAGGAAACAGCCCAGGTATCTGTCAACAGGATAAAGAAACTAGTATATTCATACAATAGACAATAAACAACTCAATAGTAAACAGAAATGAACTACTGACAACATTCAACAACATGGGTGAATCTCAAAACATTACGCATTATAAATTATACATTACACATTAATTATATACAAACTGAATGAAGTGTTTAGGGGTGAAGCACACTGATGTCTGCAACTTTCTTTGAAATGTTTCAAAACTAGATGAGTCAATGGAAGGGATAGATATGTGATAAAACAAAGGTAGCAAAATGTTAATTGTAACATCTGGAGGACAAGAATATGGTGTTCGCCATACAATTCTTTCAATTTTTTTTGTATGTTTGAAAATTTTCATAATAAAATGTTGGAAAATAATACAATGAACTGAAATCTAAAGATCTTAGGATCTAAGTATAAAAGCACATCACTTCAGTTTCACATAAAATTTAGGCAGTTGCATAAATGCTTTTCCAGTACTTTGATTTTAGGGTATTGAATGTTGTTTGAAATTAGAGAGTCATCTAACAGTTTTGAAATGTTTACATTTTTAAAAAAATCGATGGTATTTTTAAGTAGTAAGATATAAGCCAGTCTAGGGTAAAAGGGTTTTTATAATAGCATTACTCTATTATACATTAGGCCAAATATTATACACATACTTATTTTACAATTACTTTCAGTAAAACACTTTTTGTGATAATGTCTGCTTTTTTTTTTTTTAAAGCCCATTCTTTAGCAGAATAGGTCTACTTTAAGTAATATTTTCAAAGTACAATTTACTATGCTACACTACCCAATTACTTATTTTTTAAAATGTTTTTATTGATTATTTTAGAAAGAAAGGGAAAGAGAGATAGAAACATCGATGTGAAAGAGAAAGAGCTATCACAGCTGCTTCCTGCACGCCCCCTACTGGGTTTGAACCCAAAACCTGGGCATG